GACGATCCCAATAATTTAGGTGCTTTATTGCATCTATGCGTGCCGTATATGTTCTCTGTATTCCCTCTATTTCAGCAATCTCTCCTGCTCTGAAGGGGAAGTGAGTACTGAGCAGTGCTCAAGACGGGACAACACAAGTGACTTGAAGAGTACAACCATTGTGATGGGATCTCTGGATTTGAAAGTTCTCGTAATCCATCCTATCATTTTTCTGGCTGTCGCAATATTTGCTTGGTTATGCTCCTTAAACGTTAGGTCGTCAGACATTATTATTCCCAAATCCTTTACATGCTGTTTTCCTACTATGGGTACATTTGATTGTGTTTTGTACTCTGTATTATGTTTAAGGTCCTCATTTTTACCGTACCTGAGTACCTGGAATTTATCACTATTAAACATCATGTTATTTTCTGATGCCCAGTCGAAAACTTTATTAATATCAGCTTGAAGTTTTTCAATGTCCTCAGCCGAGGTAATTTTCATACTGATTTTTGTGTCATCTGCAAAGGATGATACGAAGCTGTGACTTGTATTTTTGTCTATATCTGATATGAGAATAAGGAAAAGCAGCGGTGCAAGGACTGTACCCTGAGGTACAGAGCTTTTCACTGCACTTGGACTAGATTTTATATGGTTGACAGTTACTCGCTGAGTCCTGTTTGACAGAAAACTGAGTATCCAGCGTCCTACTTTACCGGTTATTCCCATTGACTTCATTTTGTGTGCTATCACGCCATGGTCACATTTATCGAAAGTCTTTGCAAAGTCCGTGTATATCACATCAGCATTCTGTTTCTCTTCTAATGCCTCAGTGACTTTGTCGTAGTGCTCAAGTAGCTGTGAGAGGCATGATCTTCCCGCTCGAAATCCATGTTGGCCTGGGTTGTGAAAGTCATTGGCCTCCATGAAATTGGTGACCTGACTCCTAATCACTCTCTCAAATACTTTTATGATGTGCGATGTTAGCGCAACTGGTCTATAATTTTTTGCCAATGCTTTGCTCCCTTACATGACTGATGCCAAAGTCTGACATTAGCATATCAGCCGGTAAAGCTCCGGGGAGCCGACGGGGCTCCCCCCAGAAATATATAATTTGATGTAAATCGAATTGTTAAGGGAAATTTATGTTACAGAATCAGGCTTAAACACCAGCCTACTTTAGGGTGTACGTATAGACTTGGTCTGCGTTCGTACAGTATACACCCAGTGCCCTTAGCTTTGTCTGCGATTGACGTACAGTATTCATCCGCCGGTGGAAGAATAATCGTGGAATTGACCATTTTTTTACTACAGCTCTTTGGTTATAAAACAAAATGTCTCAGGGGCTTACTAATAGTGCCTTATTAATTAACACTTTGTGCGGATCAGGACATAACCTGGAGTCCTGTTTCGCCTACCCGCTTCCGGGATGTGGACATAAAATGATGTCCTGAAAAAAATATTTGTATAAAATTCAATTTTAATCCGATTTACTTTGGGTTTGTTTCAAACTGCGCGCCATGAGGCTCTCTTTCTCACCACCAGGCTGCATGGTACAATAAGTTCATGAAAGGTGTGGACCACTTCGATCAAATGGTATTACCATTTTACCAGGAAAACTCACAAGTGGACCTAAAAGATAACATTTTATTTCTTGCAAATGGCTTTGCATAATGCCTTTGTTTTGTACAAATACAACACAACTGATCAAAAAAAGCTAACATTGATACAGTTCCACGAGGTGGCAAATTGGGCCCTATTGTGCTGGGACCCGGAAGATTGGCCTCAAACAGCAACAGTATCTCAACACTTGCGGCACACTCCAGACATAAATGATGGCACAGGTCCTGCCTATGCTGACGCCATGCAAACTCCTAGACCATCTGGTGTGAGGCGGCCCTTGTTCACTTCAACACCTCAAGCTGAAGCAGCAACCGAATCAGAACCCGAGATGTCTGGCACACTGCCATTTGACGAGACGGTTTTGTCAGATGACTCTGACTCTGACTCAAATGTTGAACCTCCAGCGATTCAGTTGATTCTGAAAATCGCATGAACTACAAACTGAAGCGAGTATTTTGATACCAGAATGAACACTGTATCACATAAACTGCCATAAGTAGACTCGAACCTTCATAGATTTTTTTTTGGGTGTAGCGTGTGTCTGCATGAGTGTTCCAAACGGGTTGAAGGTGGGTGACTTTAGCCGTTTATACTGGTAATGCTTCCCCCATATCATGTATTATATGCATATGTCTGTTTAGGGAATTTTATTCCGATCAATGTACAACCAAAAATAACTGTGTGCAACAAGTATAAACTTAACAAACATAACAACAGTAAAAACATTTCGTGTGTGTTTGACGCTCACTGATATGTTCCAGCGTTGTTTTATATTTAGCGCTATTCTATCTTACGCTTTGTTGATCTTTTTTACCTACGGGCTCATAGAACATTCTATTGCGAACACATTGGCACAAAACTGAATGACGTACATAGAATAATAATGTCAGGACAGTGAAATAAGTATAAACTTTCAAAGCACCGTATCGCACATGTGTCGTTGCGTCACCGATACCAGGTAACAGTTCTGCCACTTCCCACACTCTTGCGGATGGGCCGCGATCATTGTTCTACGTTTATATTCATATCACCGTGTTGGGAATTTCATTGCGAGTCCATTGATACCAAAATTAACGCTGTAGGACAAGTGTGGAGGTGATAACAACCCCAACCTTTTGTTGCTTTGGGCGCTCACGGCGAGTCATCTTCATAGTTATTTATTTGGTGCTGGTATCCCTATAAGTTTCGTGACTTTTTTTACTGATGTTCTTCTAAAGAATTTTATTGTGAACACGTTGGTACCAAAATGAAATACGTAGCTCGAGAACTAAGGTCAGGAGAGTAAAAAGAGTATACACATTTTTGTTTTTACGCTTACGCGACAAAAACGCCGCGCGCACATACCGCTTTTTTTTTTACCTTCGCCGGGCGCGCGAAAGTGTTAAGCCAAAAATGAAGCAATATTTTGCAAGAACTAGTAGCAGAAAATCAACCAGCACGAGAACAGCCGTACCCAGCACGAGAACAGCCGTACCCAGCACGAGAACAGCCGTACCCAGCACGAGAACAGCCGTACCCAGCACGAGAACAGCCGTACCCAGCACGAGAACAGCCGAATCCAGCACGAGAACAGCCGTACCCAGCACGAGAACAGCCGTACCCAGCACGAGAACAGCCGTACCCAGCACGAGAACAGCCGTACCCAGCAAGAGAACAGCCGTACCCAGCAAGAGAACAGCTGTACCAAGCACGAGAACAGCCGTACCCAGCCCGAGAAGAACCGTACCCAGCAAGAGAACAGCCGTACCAAGCACGAGAACAGCCGAACCCAGCACGAGAACAGCCGCACCCAGCACGAGAACAGCTGTACCCAGCACGAGAACAGACGTACCCAGCACGAGAACAGACGTACCCAGCACGAGAACAGCCGTACCCAGCACGAGAACAGCCGTACCCAGCAAGAGAACAGCCGTACTCAGCAAGAGAACAGCCGTACCCAGCAAGAGAACAGCCGTACCAAGCACGAGAACAGTCGAACCCAGCACGAGAACAGCCGTATCAAGCACGAGAACAGTCGAACCCAGCACGAGAACAGCCGTACCAAGCACGAGAACAGTCGAACCCAGCACGAGAACAGCCGTACCCAGCACGAGAACAGCCGTACCCAGCACGAGCACAGTTGTACCCAGCACTGGTACAACAGCCGTACCCAGCACGAGCACAGTTGTACCCAGCACTGGTACAACAGCCGTACCCAGCACGAGCACAGTTGTACCCAGCACTGGTACAACAGCCGTACCCAGCACGAGCACAGTTGTACCCAGCACTGGTACAACAGCCGTACCCAGCACAAGCACAGTTGTACCCAGCACTGGTACAACAGCCGTACCCAGCACAAGCACAGTTGTACCCAGCACTGGTACAACAGCCGTACCCAGCACGAGCACAGTTGTACCCAGCACTGGTACAACAGCAGCCAGCACCAGCTCAGAAGCAGCTGAAGCCACAGCAGCAGCGAGCACCAGCAAAGCTGATGCAAACATCTAAAAACATTGTGTGCAGCATGAACAGTTAGAACAAGTGTTAAATTTAAGTGTGTACACAGTGTTAAAATTAATGTTGCAGTAATTTTAGTGTACAATAGTTTTCATAAACTGTATTGTAGTACTCAACATACAGCAGAACTACTTAATCAACACAGTGTTAACGGTATAATACACTGCAGTATGTATTTAATGTAGAGCATTCACAACTTCACGAAACTTCAAGATGGACATAGCTTCAACAATAAGGTAAATTTATGAATTACAGTATTTTTTAGTAGAGAAGTAATATATAGGTACAGTATGAAATATGATGATGCATTTTTATTGTGTACAAGAAAAAAAAAAGTGACACAAACGCCTCCTGAAGGTCACCTCTTGCAACGAATCCAACGCTCCAATGAACTGGGGTTGGTCCCATATAGTACGTTGAATCGAGGTTGTACTGTACAGTACATCTCAAATATATGAGCCCCATAATTTTGAGCATAGCGATGTTCCACACATTGTACTACATAAATTCCACAAATTCCACACTTTTGAATATTATTACTGGAAAAAAACAGAGAAGAAACGAGACATTGAAATAATCGAGAAAATTATATTCGCGGCAACTGCCACCCCACGGAGTGGTGGGGTCTAGTGTCCCCGAGAGCCTCATTACTCGGTGCCCATAATTTACTCAACTTTTCAGCTCCATCATGGCTAGAGTATGTCACAAAATATTTTATTTTAGTTTCCCCTGATCAGAGACTACATTTTAACAATACAAAATAATTTTTGGAAAATACATTATTTTGTGCGCACTACGGGGGTGTCATATTTGAATGCAGTGCATTAAAATATATGGTTAAACACTTTACTAATAGGGACAATAACTAGTAGAACACAGAACACATGCTTAGCAATACTCACAATTTTCGAATGGATGAAAAGTTTTGATGATGAACTCTTTGATTTCATCCTCAGTCATTTCAGAGCTGGTATATCTATTAGAACAAACAAAATCATTGATTAATAATAAATACAAACATAAGATCTTATAAACTTAGTTATGAGAATCTTACACTATGTTATGGAGTGCATAACACATTTTTTTTTTTTTGGGGGGGGGACAATAAATTCAACTTTAAAGCTGACTTATTTTACAACACCACACAGTGGTTTATCTGAAATATTCTAATATACAGTATCTACTCAATTTAATTACCTTATTTTACTGTAATTCGGTGTTTGCTCAACTGGATGCCACTATTGGGTTTCTTTTGACAACTTTGCCTTAGCTAACGATTATGCGTTCCCTTCACAAATTTCACTGCCTCATTGTAAGGAAAGAGCCTTTTTTGGAAGAATGTGTTAGTGCTGATAACAGTGAATAGTTGAAACTATATTGGTTTGTAAGGTAAAGACATTTGAAGTCCTCGGCAGCACAGTGGCTAGTTCTGCACATGCACAGTGCACTGTGTCAGTGCGAGAATGTTCCCCCTCTAATATTATGTGTAAAAAACATCATAGAATGTAATGAAATTCCAGTTTCAGAGTGAGCCTCCGGAAGCTCCCTGAATCTATCATCACTGATTAAGTGACATACACTCCCCAACCTTGCTATCAGATCTCAATCATTTGTTTATTCCATCTATTCGTTTGTGATCCGGCCCCAGGCGGCATCTGTACTCTGGAAAAGCCTATTTAAAGCCTTTGTTTTAGTTTACTCATGCCAGAAAAAACCCTCCCTATCTCTCTCACCGTTTTATATCTCTGCATATTTTTTGCATCCTGCCACTAGTGCGACTAGAAATACAAGACATATATGTTGTTTAGGGCTTCAACAGGCAGTGAAGTCAAGAGAAAACATATTGTGATGACCTATTATCAGAGCATTCAGCTTATACAGGAAGATGAATCTGGAATGTCTCCTGTGTGTGGTGGATAAAGGTGCAGAGACATGTGTCCAAATTTGAGATTGTGATACTCTCTCTCCTGAGCAAATTTATAATGCCAATGAAACAAGTTTGTACTGGCGTATTTTAACCTAACCAAACCCAACTAAACCTAACCAAAGCTAATCAAAGCAACCCTGATCTAACCTAACCAAACCCAACTAAACCTAACAAAAGCTAACGTAATCAAAGCTAACCAAACCTAACCAATGCTAATAAAGCCTAACCAAACCAAAGCAAATCTGTCCTAATCTAACCAAATCAAACCTAACCTAACTATATCTGGTTGATACCTGGTTGATGGGGTTCTGGGAGTTCTTCTACTCCCCAAGCTTGTGAGAGTTTGGTCCACCAGGCTGTTGCTTGGAGCGGCCCGCAGGCCCACATACCCACCACAGCCCGGTTGGTCCGGCACTCCTTGAAGGAAACTAGATTGTTTCCTCCTGGAGATGCCCACGGTTGTTCCGGCAATATTTCTTATGCTCAGTATCAAACCAAATCAACCAAATCAAACCTGGCCAAACTAAACTGAAGCTAACCAAAGCAACTCTGACCTAACCAAACAAAATCAAACCAACCAAACCAAATAAAACCTAACCAAAGCAAACCTGACAAAAGCAAAACTGACCATAGCAAACCTGACCAAACCTAACATAACCAAACCTAACCAAACTAAAGCTAACTAAACCCAAAGCTAACTAAACCAAGGCTAACCTAACCAAACATAACTAAACATAACCTAACCAAACAAAAACCCAACCCTCCCCTCCACATCTATGCCTCAACCTTCATTTAACCCTTAAACTGCGCAACGCGCCTGCAGGCTCACGTCTGGTTTGCGCAACGCGCCTCTGGGTATTTGTATTTTTCACGTTCCATTTAAAACTCCTACGGCTACATGGGGTTCACATCAGCTTCCTCAGGGCTCTTGCAAACAGACGCCATCTTTAAAAAAAATCATGGTCCACATTGCCGGATGTCAGAGCCTCAGTAGTGTGTGAGCAACCAAGGCTGGCGCTCGTAGCATGAGCGCACAGCACTGCTGTTCAGCGTGTGACCACAGCATCGCCTAATAATGTCAAAATATATACATAACTTGTATTATTTAGGCATGATAGTGTTATAGAAGAGCCTGAGTGTGATAATGACTGGGTACAATGTTCAAATATCAGTGATTCAATGATGTTCACGATGTTCACAGAGCTAGCCACAGCACCACAGCATTATTTCGTCCATCTAGGACTCTTCAAATGATTTCTTAGGTTCCTTTTCAAAATAAATTATTAATTATTAATTTACAAGAATTAGTGACCACGATTGTGATAATAGCAGAATTGTGGTTATAATTAGCGTTGTGCGTAGTATTGTGGAAGGTGGAATTTTGGTGAGGGAGGGAGAGAGAATTGAGGTAGTCTCATTGTGTGTGTGTGGCAGCCACTCTTGTTTTGCTCACCATACTAGCTTAGTGGTTTGTTATGGCCAACACATATGTACATGTGTATATACAGTGTGTATATAGTGTAATAACAGCAACAGGAGAATGTTGAGAGGAGCTATTTTGGTGAGGGAGGTGACGTAGTAATCGTAGTGTCGTTTGCTGTCTGCTGTAACCACATGTAGATAGGTATATATAACATGTGTAATTAGTGTAATAAGAACAATAACAGAATGGTGGGAGAAGCAATGTTGGCGAGTAAGATGTTGGAGTGAGGGAGACTGGCTGGGTGTTGCTCCTCTCACTTGAGGTGTTCCGAGTGTGTTGATGGTGAATGTATATAGTGTGTGACAGTGTATAGTGTGTAAATAGATTGTATATATACATAAATTAGCATGATACATGGTAAATATGTGCAGTATATGTGTACACAAGTGTCATGCACATAACACAATGTCTTCGGACAATACGGATGTTTTACTCCATAATATAGTGTACGTGTTCATTATACATAGGATTAGCACGTAAAAACAAATAAAATGTATTTGAAACTGTGCGCAAAAAATGAACAAAAATATATTCCCGGCAACTCGCGCGCCCCGCCCCAGGCACCCTACTGGCCCCGGGAGCGTACGTCACAGGCGAATGGGAAATGATGACGTCACGCGCCAACTTACGGACCCCATAACAGCCAAAGTAAGTACAATTTCAATTTTTTTTTTACATACCCATACTGAGGGAAGGGTTTCTGACACTTTAAAAAATCAAAAGAATTTTTTCCAGAGAATTTATTTCCTGCGCACTGGGGGGGGGGGGGGTCATATTTGGAGGCAACGCAGTTAAGGGATTAACACCAAGATACTCACTTACACATTATTCCAAGATCATAAATATAAATTATTATTATGTAGAGAAACATGTGGACACTTGGTGAACACCAAGTGTCCACAAGGCATTTTGTTTAAAGTATCTAGTGAAAAAACATTGTATTGTTTCATACTTTTGAACAGAAAGTTATTATTTTTCGTGCTAAAGGGGGGAGGGGAGAATCTGACTACTTATCCAGACACAATTACATATTCAATTGCATCTGGGCCCGAGTGTCTGGAAGGGAGGATGTGTAGCGTATTACAAAGCGTTGTCAGTTGAGTTCTTTTGTGCCTACCAGGAACCACGAGCCAGAATCTGGTCCCCTCAAAGAGGTGCAGGGAGCGATGGACTATGATCATTTTATATTTAGAGAATATCATGTCTGCGATCACCAGTAAAGGCACCCAGAAAGTTTGGTGACTCAAAAAAAAAAAAACTCTGGTTTAAAAACATGAAAGAAAAACAAAACTTAGTGAAACAAGCCCACCACTAGCTTCCTTCCTCCTCCCCTTTTGCTGAGGAAAGGGGGGAAGAGAGGAGCTGATGCGTAGCGACCGGGCCAACCAGCTTCAGTTCTTTATCAAGGAACATACCGCCGTTAGGAAAGGAAGTGTCTGAGGGGGCCTCCGCGGCTCACCCAAAAACTAGTGTTTTATTACATTCAATGTTGGTTTTCTATGGGGAGCCCCATCGGGTACCTGAAGAGAAGGCCAAGAAGGGAAACTTCTCTGTTTTTACCCACAGAGAAGGACAAGAAGGGAAACTTACTAGGGAGGCAGGAGCAGCACCACTGGCACCATGGCGAAGTCAAGATCACAGGCGGCAACAGATGACCGTTTACAAGATATTGAGCTGCTAAAACCCTGTTAGACCTCCAAAACCTCCTGCTTGATGGGGTTCTGGGAGTTCTTCTACTCCCCAAGGCCAGTCTAGGGCCAGGCTTGACTTGTGAGAGTTTGGTCCACTAGGCTGTTGCTTGGAGCGGCCCGCAGGCCCACATACCCACCACAGCCCGGTTGGTTCGGCACATTTTTTTGAAAACAGTCTAGTTTTCTCTTGAAGATGTCCACGGTTGTTCCGGTAATATTTCTTATAGTCGCTGGGAGGACGTTGAACAACCGTGGACCTCTGATGTTTATACAGTGTTCTCTAATTGTGCCTATGGCACCTCTGCTCTTCACTAGTTCTATTCTGCATTTTCTTCCATATCGTTCACTCCAGTATGTTGTTATTTTACTGTGTAGATTTGGGACCAGGCCCTCCAGTATTTTCCATGTCTATATTATTTGGTATCTCTCTCGTCTCCTTTCTAGTGAGTATATTTGGAGAGCTTTGAGACGATCCCAATAATTTAGGTGCTTTATCGCGTCTATGCATGCCGTATATGTTCTCTGTATTCCCTCTATTTCAGCAATCTCTCCTGCTCTGAAGGGGAAAGTGAGTACTGAGCAGTATTCTAGATGGGATAATACAAGTGACTTAGAGTACAACCATTGTGATGGGATCCCTGGATTTGAAAGTTCTCGTAATCAATTCTATCATTTTTCTGGCTGCCGCAATATTTGCTTGGTTATGCTCCCTAAACGTTAGGTCGTTGGACATTATTATTTACATCATTATTCCCAAATCCTTGACATGCTGTTTTCCTACTATGGGCAGATTCGATTGTGTTTTGTACCCTGTATTATGTTTCAGATCCAAATTTTTGCCGTACCTGAGTACAGTGGTACCTCGGAATGCGATT